GGACACCATCTCTACCACATTTCCTTTGGACACCACCTTTTCCACATTTCCTTGGGACACCACCTCTTCCATGTTATCTTTGAACACTACCTCTTTCACATACTCAAAGGACACCATCTCTACCACATTTCCTTTGGACACCACCTTTTCCACATTTCCTTGGGACACCACCTCTTCCAACTCTTCGACATCCACTTTAGACACCACCTCCTCCATATTATCTTTGAACACCACCTCTTCCACATAATCTCTGGACACCACCTATTCCAGATTTCCTTATAACATCACCTCTTCCACATCCTGTTTGGACACCACCTCTTCCACATCCTCTTTTGACATCACTTGTTCCACATCATCTTTGGACACCACCTCTTCCACATCCTCTTTGGACACCACCTTTTCCACATCCTCTTTGGACACCATCTCTGCCACATCCCTTTAACACCACCTCTTCCACATCCTTTGGACACCACCCCTTTTTGGACACCACCTCTTCCACATCCTTTTTGGACACCACCTCTTCCACATCCTCTTTGGACACCAACTCTTCCACATCCTCTTTGGTCACCATCTCTTCCACATCTGCTTTGAACACCACCTATTCCACATTTACTTATATCACCATCTCTTCCACATCCTTTTTGCGCACCACCTATTCCATGTTTCCCTATAACATCATCTCTTCCACATCCTCTTTGGACACCACCTCTTCCATGTTTTTTGGACACCACCTCTTCCGCATCCTCTTCTGGACACCACCTCTTCCACATCCTCTTTGGACACCACCTCTTCCACATCGTCTTTGGACAACATCTCTTCCACGTCCTATTTTGACACCACCTCTTCCACATCCTCTTTGGACATCACTTGTTCCACATCCTCTTTGGACACCACCTCTTCCACATCCTCTATGGACACCACCCCTTCCACATACTCATTGGACACCATCTCTACCACATTTCCTTTGGACAGTAATAATATGCAATGTAACCTATCTAATATGTTATGGTCTATGGAGTTCGAATACTAACCGCTAACTGTCAGGGCCTGGGGGATAAAAATAAACGTAAAGATGTTTTTGCTTATTTAAGAAGTATGAACTTTAACATTTATTGTATACAGGATACACATTTTACTGTTGACATAGAAAATATAATTAGAACAGAATGGGGATACTCCTGTTATTTTAGCTCTTTCAACTGCCATTCTAGGGGGGTAGCAATCCTACTCAATAATAATTTTGAAGTAAAGGTAATGAAAGAAAAGAAAAGTACAGATGGAAATTTTTTAGTATCTAATGGAAAAAGAAAGTGGAATGAATTGTTTGATTTTGATGACGAAACTTGGAAAAGTATATTTAACACCCCGTTCAGAGTAACTAAATGTTCATAGCTACAATGGCTTCAGTATAGAATAAATCAACACATATTAACCACAAATTCATATTTATTTAAGATTGGTTTGACAGAGAGTCCATACTGCTTCTTCTGTAATGGAAACAATAGTGCACTTATTATGGAAGTGCAGGGAAGTACAATAATTTTTTGAGAACTTTGAGACCTTGTTAGATTCTCTTTTTATTCCATTTACTTTCAATAAAGAAACTTTTATTTTTGGTATTAGAAACAATAGAAATACATACTATACAACTGACAATCTTATTTTGCTCATTATGAAGCAATACATCTATAGAACAAGATGTTTACAAAAAACTTTATCTATTCAAGAGTTAAAATCTATTATAAAAGATAATTACATTATACAAAAGTATATACACTGTACAAGATAAAGGAAATAGGGCAAAATTGTTCAATAGATGGAAATAATGGGACAAGCTACTAGAAATAACACCCATCCCCTGACAGTGCGTGTTGATATACTTATTCATTTATTTTTTTAATTTTTACTGAAGGTTTAGTTTTAGTGGCTTTCAACACACTGCATTTTCAAATAGTCTTACTACATCAAGTGGCACAAGTCTCTCTCTTCTCTCCTCTTTCTCTCCTTTTCTCTCTCTCTCTCTCTCTCTCTCTCTGTGTGTGTGTGTGTGTGTGTTAAACTGTATGTTTTTTCCTGTGTGTGTGTGTATAGCAGTTTTATTTTGGTGGATGCTGATGAATGTACATTTTGTATGTATGTAAGTGTGGTAATGATGATGATGAGGATAACAATGGTGATGATTAATGTATTCACTAATAGATGATGATGATCATGCTACATCGTAATCATGAAGATGAATATATGGAGATGGTGGTGATTATGAGGATGGTGATGGTTATGGTGATGACTGTATATAGATGCTGCTTAGGAGGAGGAGGATGATAGTATAATGATGATGAATGACGATGAACACATTGTATAAGAATGAACAAATGATGATGATGATGATGATGATGATATGAATGAGGATGATGATGGTTATACATGTATATGGTGATGACTGTATATAGATGCTGCTTAGGAGGAGGAGGATGATAGTATAATGATGATGAATGACGATGAACACATTGTATAAGAATGAACAAATGATGATGATGATGATGATGATGATATGAATGAGGATGATGATGGTTATACATGTATATGGTGATGATTGTGTGTTGATGCTGCAGCTGATGATGATGACAACAGTATAATGATAACAATGTATACATAGTTTATGGATGATGATGATGATGATGATGATGATGATGATGATGATGATGATGATGAATAATTCATTATCCCACATGTGAATGTATGTGTGTGTGCATGTGAGGGAACATGTGTGTGGTTGTTTTTTGTCATATGTGATGTACATATAATGAAAATTCTTTAAAAATAAAAAGTTACAAAAAAAAATCTATAACCAAACTGGGGACATTCACACATACTTAAATAAATTAAAGTACCTAGTGACTTAACACATAACATCATCTATAACCAAACTGGGGACATACACACATACTTAAATAAATTAAAGTACCTAGTGTCTTAACACATAACATCATCTATAACCAAACTGGGGACATACACACATACTTAAATAAATTAAAGTACCTAGTGACTTAACACATAACATCATCTATAACCAAACTGGGGACATACACACATACTTAAATAAATTAAAGTACCTAGTGACTTAACACATAACATCATCTATAACCAAACTGGGGACATACACACATACTTAAATAAATTAAAGTACCTAGTGACTTAACACATAACATCATCTATAACCAAACTGGGGACATACACACATACTTAAATAAATTAAAGTACCTAGTGACTTAACACATAACATCATCTATAACCAAACTGGGGACATACACACATACTTAAATAAATTAAAGTACCTAGTGACTTAACACATAACATCATCTATAACCAAACTGGGGACATACACACATACTTAAATAAATTAAAGTACCTAGTGACTTAACACATAACATCATCTATATCCAAACTGGGGACATTCATTCATACTGAAAAAAAAAGTAACTAGTGACTTCAGACGTTACGTTCTCTGTAACTGAAATAGGGACATCTACGTATATGTACTTAAGTGATAGGCATAGAAGTTGACTATATAGTTTTCTATACCCACCATGTACAAGTAAATAGGAAGAAACTAGAGAGATCGGAATCATATACATGTAGAAAACCCCAAACGACACAGTCGGACCAGCCCATAAAACCCATACGACACAGTCGGACCAGCCCATAAAAACTATCGACCGGTTTTGGATTTAGCACTAGAAGAACTAAAGAAAGACTTGGAATTATCTGATAGTGATGATACAGCGTCAAACTCTAACATATCGTCTACGGTCGATTACCGGAGGTTAGGTTACCAGTCGGAGTCTACGTCGACGGTGTGCCTAGATGAACGAGTCTATGATGACTAGTCTATTAAGATCAGAAGAATGACTATGCAATATACATATGTTTATATCTTGTACCACCATATTAGAAACTATCGCATATGAACTTTAAAAAATTTTTTTTCACTGTTAATTCCGAAAATTAAACTAAAAATGATAACAGTAACCGTGAAGGAATATCATAGAATTTTAATGCGTTACTGTACTTTATGATCATGTGATGTCTATTGTAAGACGTCATAAATAACAATGAAAACTTTCTCCCGATTTTCAGTACCTTAGGGGTAAAAAATTGTTTATACTCTGTCCTGAAGAAGCCCACTGTTCGGGCGAAACCGGTAGACATTTCACACGAATAAAAATCAACTTATCCCGAACCTGTTGCGATTGACTTATATACTTTGGTTTCCCCTATTCCTTCAATCGCCCTGCATACCGGGTGGTATCCGGGCAAGGGATATAAAGAACCAACGGAACCTTAATAAAAGTCAAGGCGTTGGCTCTACCCCTGGATTTACGTTGTCACGTTTTATTAGAGCCCCTGCATCCCCAGCGGATCCGCCGTAGGAACCACTAGAGTCCGCCATTGGACCATTTTCCTCAACCGAGCATGAATGACAACACTAATGACTTCTTGTTCAAGTTACCACATGATAATCACACGGATAATGCCAGTAACCTAGAACTTAAAAGGAAGAGAGAAAAAACGACTACAGAGAGAACAACCTTACCAGCCTCAGTAGTACCACACTTCAAAGCCTTACGCAAGCTCAGAATCCAGGCACTTAAAGGTCAGAACCACATCGACTATCTTCGAAAGTGCACACAAAACGGAATTGTACCTAAAGGACTACATGTCACTGTAAGCCCTCAAGTACCAGAATTGAACACAGAGTTTAGCATTGAATGGGACAAATGCCACATGAAATTCGGGTTGGACCTTACTAAAGCTCTCCTGAACTATTGGGCTGACAGAAACACACAGTTGGCCGCAGAGATAGAAAAGGTCAAAGATCTAATTAAAGCAGTAACTACACCAGACATATCAGATCTGGTCTGGGATACAACTGAACTTACACTCACACGCATTAAGGAGTCAAGGAAAGATAAACAAGACAAGACAGATAAACAAACGGGATGGAACTCACGCGCAAACGACACCACCGGAAATTCATCCCGCGGAAAAAATTCAGGAAAACGCGCATAGAAAGTGATTATAGCGGGATTGTAAATTTATCAGATAGGGTATTAAATAAAGCCGAATTAGATGTTTTGTCCAAAGGTCTAAATTTCTGCCCGACTCCAGGGGCACCACAATTAGATAACATACTCACTCACACCTACCTTTTTAACCGAAGGGTACGCATCAACCATTTCTTCAAGGATACACCAGAACAAGAGAGAAGCCCGTTCCGCAGAACATCCGGCTGGACTCCACCGGCAGGAAATGATACTTTTCTAGATACTTTTCTCAACATAGTCACAGAAAGTATACACGATCACCGGATTCGGAAACCACACAGAAGCAACCTTTCCAATAAGGAAAAGGATGCCCTCAAATCACTGAGTAATGATGGAAACATCGTCATAAAACCAGCGGATAAGGGTGGCGCTATAGTCATCCTTAACAAAGAGGACTACATGCAAGAGATACACAGGCAAATACATGATAGTACTCACTATGAGAAAGTCAAATCAGATCTAAACCCATCAGTCACAAAAAAGATTACCGGTTTTCTTAAGTTCATAAAAGATAGAGAGCTATTAACCGACACTGAAATCAAATACTTAACGCCAAGAAACCCCCGAACCCCGATATTTTATACGCTATCTAAAATACACAAAGCAGGTAATCCGGGAAGACCCATAGTATCGCAAATAGGTAGTTGCACAGAAAAGATATCAGAATTTGTAGATCACCATCTTAAACCACTAGCCATGAAAACAGACTCATATTTGAAAGATAGCAATGATTTCCTACGAAGAATAATAAACTTAGGCCAACTACAGACGGGGAGTATACTATGTACAGCGGACGTATCTTCGCTGTACACATCTATCCCACACACAGAAGGAATTAGGGCAGTGAAATTAGCCTTAGATGGGAGAGGTCCGCAGGCACAACCCAGCACGTGGATCCTCCTTCGGATGATTGCATTAATATTAACAAACAACTGTTTTAGGTTCAACACGGACTATTATTTGCAGAAACTAGGTACCGCCATGGGGACCAAGATGGCACCTAACTATGCAATAATTTTCATGGATTACATTGAGAAGAAATTCCTAGCCACACAAGAAAAAATACCACTAGTTTGGTGGAGATATATAGATGACATTTTCTTTATATGGACACATACAAGAGAGGAACTTGCCTCCTTTTGTGAAGCCATGAACTCAAACCACCCAACAATTAAGTTCACCTTTGATATCAGTGATACCGAGGTCAACTTCTTAGACACCACTATATACAAACTACCGGACGGCAACTTGGGAAGCAAACTGTATAACAAACCCACTAATGCGTTTTTATACTTGCACTACCACAGCTGTCACCCCAAACGTTCCAAAACCAGTATCCCATACTCACAAGCATTAAGAATCAAGAAAATATGCAGTGACCCAAACCACTTCGAACAGGAATGCTCCAACCTAGTAGGGAGATTCAGAAAAAAGAGGATACCCGCTTAACCTACTGACCGAGGCAGTCAATAAAGCACGAGCCGTGTCTAGGGAAGAATTATTAAACCCGGAAATGAAAGAGAACAGCCGCAAGGTAATACCTTTCGTCATCCCGCATAACCCAGCAAACCCACCGATTGGATTATTACTAAAGAAATACAAACATATCTTAGGACAGGGCCCGGGAACCAGGGGCCTGTTGGATTACAAAATGATAATGGCCTACACCAAACCCAAGTCCATCAGGAATATATTAGTGAAAAGCGATATCTGCCGTGACTCTATCCGACCGGGCAGTGGTCCGTGCGGAAAAAACTGCAGAATATGTGCGCATATGAAACCCACTATCCACTTCACAAGTCACACTACCAGATCAGAATATAAAGTACAGGGACAGATCACATGCCAAAGTGTGAACGCGGTGTACCTAATATCATGTAAAAAATGCGGTATGCAGTATGTCGGACAAACATCGACGACGATAAATACACGCATCCGCAATCATCTGTATAGCATCATTAACAAACACCCAGACAAGCCGGTGGCGGGACATTTCACGTCGCCAGGTCACAGTACCAGTGACGTCATAGTCACCGGTCTGTTATCGAACGTCAGTGATAACAACCGTCGCCTGAGAATTGAAGAGAGTTGGATCAGGATATTGAGAACAACGCAGCCAGAAGGTCTTAATATTATATCGTGATGGCGCGTACGAAACAAACACCAAGGAAACAGGCAACAGATCAAAAGACGCAAGCAAAGCCGAGAATACCGTGCATAAAATGCGGCAAAACGTACTCAAGTTTAGGAAACCTGAGAAGACATGCAGATAAAGTACACACCATGCTGAAAACATGGCACCGATGCAAAATTTGTAAACATACTTATGGAAGGAAAGGGGCGTACAAAGAACATTTAAAGAAAAAACACCCAGGATACCAAGTGGAACCTGAAATTTTCCAGGATAACACCAGAATGAACGCAACTAAACCGGAGGATAAGCGCCCGTTCGAGGTGCTGACAAAGAAACAACTACAACAAGTGAAATTCAGATTGAAACCAGCGGAGGGCCCATACGACACAGTCGGACCAGCCCATAAAAACTATCGACCGGTTTTGGATTTAGCACTAGAAGAACTAAAGAAAGACTTGGAATTATCTGATAGTGATGATACAGCGTCAAACTCTAACATATCGTCTACGGTCGATTACCGGAGGTTAGGTTACCAGTCGGAGTCTACGTCGACGGTGTACCTAGATGAACGAGTCTATGATGACTAGTCTATTAAGATCAGAAGAATGACTATGCAATATACATATGTTTATATCTTGTACCACCATATTAGAAACTATCGCATATGAACTTTAAAAAAATTTTTTTCACTGTTAATTCCGAAAATTAAACTAAAAATGATAACAGTAACCGTGAAGGAATATCATAGAATTTTAATGCGTTACCGTTACTTTATGATCATGTGATGTCTATTGTAAGACGTCATAAATAACAATGAAAACTTTCTCCCGATTTTCAGTACCTTAGGGGTAAAAAATTGTTTATACTCTGTCCTGAAGAAGCCCACTGTTCGGGCGAAACCGGTAGACATTTCACACGAATAAAAATCAACTTATCCCGAACCTGTTGCGATTGACTTATATACTCATGTAGAAAACATGATACAAAAAGCATGGTTGAAATATAAAGGCGACATGATATAAAGTGACTGTGGTAGGTGATAAAGGCGTCTTAAAAAACAAAAACGGGGTTATACTTACTTTTCCAGAGTAGCAAAATATTTCTCCTTATAGCCAATATAGCAAGAGATTTCAAATTTCAAAGAGTATTGACGCAAGAAGGGGGCAGTGGTTTTCAGAGGAGTCAGCTATTATTGAAAATGTGTCACTTCAGGATATCAGAGGCATTCAGTATGACCATAGATCCACCTTAATTAAAATCGAAAGACCGCATTGCATCAAACACATGCTAACATTCACCCGTTTTGTTGTGATGACATAACTTGTGATTTTCCTCATGAATATGCATTTCGTGAAGGAATTAATTAAATCATTTCAGGCAGAGATATCTCTGCTATGGATTCAATTCCAGTTTTGAAACTTTGTGCATGTCTAAATGGGCACAATATCGCTCTGCATTCAGGAAAATTCAAGTGAAGAAAAATGCTTCCCTCTGAGGTACACAGCCATTTTAAATTCACATAGATCTGTATACAAACCTTTCACTGTTGGTAAAGTTTTAAGTTGACTTGAACAGACTGCTGAAGTTTGATTGACTAATGAATCAAGATCTTACTGCTTATGTGTATTACAGGCTTTCCTAAGAAGTTTATGTGGCAAAAACAAAAGAGCCAAGGTCCTTACAGATGGTGCAATTATAAATATAATGAACAAGAAATTCATCTTTAATTATCCAGGTAAATGAAAAGAGATTTTTACTGCAATTCAGGTAATTCTAGGTTGTCAAAAGAGACAGGTTTACTGTTCTGAAATAAGTGTGCGACTTCCCGAAAAGCCAAATCAAAAGCCAAAGACGCTGACCTTGTGACCTTGACTTTGAACTTTGACTTTTAAAAAAAAAACAACTTTAACCTTGGTCATATATTCTGAACCCTAAGAGGATGAACTTTCATATTTAATTTGTTTGTTCCTTGTAAGAAAAACCTTTCCATTGGTACCAGAATTTTGACCTTGTGACCTGACTTTGACCTTTGACCTACTTTTCAAAAACTTTAATCTTGACTGTATCTTCTTAACCCTAAAAGGAAGGGCTATTATATTTCATATGTGTATTCCTTGTGATAAGATCTTTCTATTGGTACCAAAAGTTTTAATAAATGTAGCACCTATTGAAGGTCTAGTTCACATCCAGTGTCAAATTCTCAACAGGCAGGACACGAGTTTGTTAAACATTTACACTTAACTAGAGTTTCTCAAAACTTTTTGCAGAAGATGATAGTGAGGAAGTGCAAAATGATGAAGATGAAATGGAGAAAGAACAGTACAATGTACCACAATCATATATTGATGCTGATGATAAAACGGAGAAACAGCTATTCACAGATGATGATGAAGATTACATTCCAGATAGTGACTCCAGTTAGTAAGTAAAGTTTGCCTGGACATTGCATGATGATTTACCATATTTATTCCAATAAACGCCCCGTCTCTAATAAACGCCCCCCACCTGTTTTCTCAGTAAATTTCAACAACTCAGGAGTCAGGTTACAAAGCTTACCTTTTAATAAATTTTAAATTCTTGGTATCCATGAACATGAACAAATGAATTTTGGCACATGAAAATTACACTGTTACGACATGTACACAAGTAATATCAATTTAATCCACGGTTCATTTCAATATACTGCAGGCTTAACGGCCGGGACTGCCATTCGAACTACTGTCTTCACTTTCACTTTCACTTTTGCCAGTCTCGCTTTCACTCAGTTCTATTTGTGGAATAGAAGGCGCGTTCACATCACCCATTAAATTTTGCAAAACGTCATCTGCAGCTTGGACATCCTTTTCACTAAACCCCTGGAATTCCTCATTGTCAGAGTCATGCTGGAAAATTTGATCCTCGCTACCGTCCAGCGAATTTGTGATACCGCATTTTTTTTAACGATCTTCTGATTGTGTTCGGGCTAATGCTATCCCATGCTGTCTTGACCCAAGACAACATTACAGCTTTAGATGGGGCTTTACAATTCCCTGCTTTGGTTTTCTCAATGGGGCCACCGAAACACCATGCGTCATACAACTCTCCAAGTTTTTGTTTGAAGGGTTTATTCCACGACACATCGGCTGGCTGTAGCTTACATGTACATCCTCCAGGTATAACACAGATGTCTGAATTATAATGTTGACGGACCAGTTTTTTTACATCTTCAGTAAGATGACCACGGAAAGTGTCCCATACTAATAACCACCTAGCTGTATTATTCACACCCCAGAGTTTTTTTAACCAAAATTTTATACTTTCCTTGTTTGCCCAGGATTTTTGTCTGGCCCCGCACATGTATACCACAATACCACTTGGTATGTCATCTTTCGGAAGGGGACGGGGTCTCTTTTTGAATTTAGAAAACCATCCATATGAGGCTTTGAAGGATTGACTACCATTTGCCTTATGCATACGCAGGGCCTCAAACCGCAATGCTTTCCCAGTCACTCGTATTCCGGCCTCCCGTCTGTCCTGTAGCCATCTCATCAGATTTTTGTCAATATCTTCATATCTGACATGCCTTCCACCTCCATTACAGCGTTTAGATGTTTTAGAACGATTTTTTAATTTTTCTTTGTTTTGACACCAGTCCCGCACTCGTTTTCTGTCAACACGAAACACTTTCGCGGCGGCATGTTTACCCTTCTCCTCTGCAAAGACGATTACTTTAAGCTTGAAAGCAGTGTCGTAATTTTGTTTTGTCCTACACATTGTTATCAGGTATGTGGGATTTATTAAGAAACAGACTGGCTTATATACCGCTGTGTTTTTTTATTTTGTTATGCAAACTAGGCCTACAAGCGATGATGAACATTGTACGTTTTTGACTGAAGCTGACACGATGTCAATCGTGTCATTTCATACAAGAATTCAGGTTATCAGAATGCAATTGACAACAATGTTTAAAGCTACAACGATGTTGGAATTATTGCAATTTTCAAATGCATTCTTTGCTGAGTAATTTGTTAGTTTGTTAAACAATGGTTTTAAGTGGCAGACATGGCATGTCACGACCAACAAATTATCAAATTTTGTGTTCTATTTATCGTCCCGGGGCGTTTATTGGAATAAATACGGTACATATAATACAGTAATATGATAATGAACTGTGCATGTACATGCATTCCCGTTTACAAAAACTCTAACAAACGTTCTTCTGTTTTAAAAATCATTATTACATCTGCTTATCATAGCTCTTGGAGACAAATGTCTGTGTAACAGAGGTCATTATTTACTTCAATACCTCCACTAGGATTCAAACCAGCGACCCCTG